TAGATAAAGAAATCTTTAGCCTAAATACCTATTAGCATTGCACACTGATTAAAGTTGGCTCAATCACAAAGTAGTCATGAAATCAAACTAACTATGAAAATAAAATCAAATAAAGCATTCAACATGTAAACTAAGTAAAAGAATGTGCAAAAATAGTACATAAAATGGATTGCTATGAATTAAAATGAAATAAAATGTAATTCTGATAGAAGAATTGAAAATAACAAGTGAAAAATTCAATAAAAATAGTAGCTAAGTGAACATAACCAAAATAATTAACCTTAACTAATTCTAACCAACTTTAACTTCTAAAACCAAAATTATTAACCTTAACTAATTCTAACCAACTTTAACTTCTAAGTAAAGAATTTACTAGAAAATTCCTGAGAAATGAACTAAGCAACTAGAAATTTACACAAACAGTAAGTAAATTGAAGATCAAAACTAAATTGAAGTACAAATTATGAAGCAAAATAAAAAATCAAATTAGAACTAATAAAACTGCAACTTTAATGCAAATCTAGACAAACTATAAGTGCAACGAAGGATGTAGAAATAACGTGCTTCAATTTAAATGAAATTGAATTCTAAACTGCTAGATCATTGAATGAACTAAGAAAGAAACTGAATTAGAGTGCAAGTAAATAAAAAGAATTGCAATATTTAGCAAGAAACTTGAAAATTGAAATTGAGTTGAAAACTAAAAACTATCAAGTCATGAAAAGGAAAATTAGATCTAGAAATTTCTAAAGAAAATGAACTCAAATAAAGCTAAAAAAACCTAAATCTACAAGTTTATAACATAAATCAACCAAAACAATTGCATTAAAAAGTTGAAATTCTAGCTCAATGAACTAAGATTCAAATCTAATGCAGAATTAGGAAATTCAGAATAGTTGCAAAGAAAATCATCCAAAGAGCAGGTAAAAGCATGAATTTAAATGCAATCAAATGAAAATTAACAAGTAAACACATGAATTAAAGAGTCTAAATTGCAAGACTTGCAAACCAAATGACAAGATGGAAAGAAGTCCCCTGAAATGCTATCACTCATTCAAAGTTCAACTTTACCAACTAAGTTTAGCCAAAAATTTGAAGCTTGATCTAGAATTGTGTGAATGGAATTTGAAAAAGATTTTCTCCAGAATTATAGATCTATGAGTTAGGAATCTAAGAAAAAAATTTTGGCTCAAAACAAGCTATATTTAAGCAAGATTCGATCAAAACATTGTAAAAAGATCAAAAACCACAATTACCAAACAACATTGATGATCATGTGAAATCAATGGAATTTGAAGGCAAAATCATAAGATTCTTGAAATTGCATTGAGAAAATCTATAAGTACATTGAAAATTGATTCAAGAAAGTTAAATTTGTAGAGAAAGTAAAGCAAAGAGAATGCCAAACAGTACTATTTGGAAAACAAGAAAATAAAAGTGTAAAGAAAAGAAAGTATAGAAACTTAAAATGAAAAATATAAAAGTCAAGCTAAAGGCTCTCTTTTGGCCAACCATTCTTCCCAATTTATAGACAAATGGGAATGCTTCAACCCCTAAAGACGTAGTAAAAATATCTAAGTAACTATCAACCTTTAACATCATTCTTCTTCCCTTCCTTGAATCTTTTGCTTGCTTGTGAAGTTATTATAAATCCTCTTTCTTTCAAGCCTTTTTATCATAACCTTTGAACTCCAAAAAGTCAATGATAAGACCAATGAGAGGTCTTCATACAAATAGCTCAACAACTCCAATTGGTCATTTTGAATCTCCAACATTAGGACCACAATGCATTTGATCTCATGGCATAAGCATCAATCATCTCACTTGAACTTAGCATTCAATATTTTGGTGCCTATTTTAGCCAATTCCCTCTTCATTTTCCTGCCAAAATTCAGATCATTAAAGGGACAAAATGCATTATAATCCTTAAAAAAATTTTGGAAAATTGCGATTTTAAAATTAACTTCTAACAACAATAATGCACCTATTACCTTTCAAGCATATATAAAGATACTAAAATGGTAACAATGCATTATTGAGCTAAAAAGGACAAATTCAAATGAGAGTTATGAGAAATAAGACTTGAAATAAGGTTCCATGAACTTTATTTGAGCTTAAGAAAACATAGAAGAAAAGGTCAAGAAAACTCCCATAAGAGGCAATGTAGCCCAAATACACTAGTTATGGCTTTTCCTAGCTTTTTACACCAAAAATCCTCCAAAATGAATCCAAAATCTCCAAAATTCCTTATTTTCCATATTTTCATGTACACATTGAATAATTATGCATTTAACAGTATTTTTGTTAAATTTCTCATGGATCAAACCAAAATGAAAGACAGATTGCACTAAAATAAGAAAAAAAATACTAAAATTTTAGTACAATCAACGCCTATTGTGAAAGATGACATAATGTTAAATTTCAAAGTCCTCATATCAATAAATGAAAGAGCTCATGTTGAATATTTAGTATTCCTCAACTGTGGGCAATCTAATATTTGCTCAAGTTTGTACACATTTTGATGTTATGATATACTATAGGTGTACTTCGAAGATACTTGAGCAATTTAATTTTTAAACATCAGTGATTCAACATTTTGGATTTAGTTGGATATTTGACCCTTATTTTGTATGTCGTGTGAAGCCAATTTCGATATTATTGGCTAGAAGAGTTACTTCTAGGAAAGTGTGGAATAAACACTTATATCATCCTTGATAATGGAGGCAAAGCATGTAGCATATGGTGAAGCTACATGTCTGATCATTGACTACAAAATCGCATTTCAAGGTTGGATTCTAGTTTTCCATTCTGAAATTGCTTAGGATGTTTTATGATAAATCTACAATAATAGCTTTCTTTCATATTCTGGGAATTCCTCACTCTCCAAATAAATAAATATATAAGATATACCATTTAATGTATTAGAGAAAAAAGTAATGAAATCTATTGTTGAAGTAAATAGCAGAGCACATGATCTACAGAGCTCATTCTGGTGTAACCACTCATTGATTTTGGCTACTAAAATGTCTTAATCATAGACATTTATTCAAGGCTTGTAGAGCCTTTTGTTGTATTAAGTTAGTTGGAGCTCTATGTAATGAAATCAGTTGCAACTATGATGGATGGATTCTTATTTGCCATATGCATATTTTGTTTATGCACATTCTGTTAAGTATGGCATTCCGTTGGATGAGACATTTAGGATTAGTGGTTTAGATACGAAGGACCTAATGGAAATGAATAATAATTTTGTTTTCATATCATTTCCATTTTACACTATCATACTTCTGCTTCGAAAATGTTTAAGAGTTTGCGTACACGTATCTTTTTAGTACAGTACATTCTGAGGATCCATATATGCTTGTTACTGTTTCTATTGCTACTATTGAACTATTCATAAGTCAACGTGCATGTATCTTGTAGATATAGTGCATTTTGAGACTTATGAATACCTTCAGATTGAAGAGAGCATATAAGTCCATACATTCGTACTTTATCAATACAATATATTTTAAGGCTTATTGATGCTCATTCTATTGTATGATGATTTGGTTATATACTCATATTAACATTTTTATGTTTATGACCATTTTGTTAATCCAGATTCAAGTTTAATGACTTGTGTTGTCCAAGTGAGAGATTATTGTATTTATTTTGTATTGGTGGACTAACAAAGTCGTTATATACCGGATTATATTAATTAATGTCAATTAATGAGTAATTACTGTGATACTATGTTGTAATATAACTAAATAGTAGAATGAATTTAATTAATATGATTTGGGTTTAATTCTATATTTGGACCCATAATAGGTTGGGTCAATTTTGACTAACATAATAAGAGGTCTCTACTCTCACCTCTATATATATGAGGCTAGTCTATTGAGCTTTATAACTTCAGTTTTAAGAAGTAGAGAGCAGTTCTCTCTTCTTTTACTATGTAGGTCTCCCATCAGACCCTAGAAGCATGCATTGGAAGCTTGTGACGTCAGCATCAATTCTGCGACTGCGGATCCAGTAGGATTGAGCTCTCACCCACCTTCGGATCAATTTTAATTTCTGTTAAAATATGTTAATAACCCTGTGAGCTACTTAGCAAAAAAAAAAAACAAAACCTGAGCTTCTGGACTGAATCCAACAGCATAATCCAAAATTGCATCTGCATAAGTTAGCAAGTAGCAATTTTCCCCAGTAAAAGAGGTTGGAGAGTTTTCCGGACAGAAAGTCACATGATTTTGCCGCTGAATGATGCTAGGAGAAAGGAAATTCTCAAATTCCGAGCAAAATTTTCCCATCTAACACAAGGCTTTCATCATAGTAATTTGCAATTTTAATCAAATAAAAATGTCAACTCTTTTCCTTTTAAGACGTACGTACCTAAATTCATATTCACCACTGAAACACCATTGCTGCATCACTCAAAGAACACTAAAAATGTCAACTATGGACCCTGAAACAGTACCAGAAGTTGCAACAACAGTGAAACTGATAAAAAAATTCTACTCTCTCTCTCGCTGCTAATGCATATCGATCACTCGTTCGAGTGCTTTTATGACAAGATACTCCATTAGCTTAGATTTAATATGCCTGATGTCCTTCTAAAAGCAGAAAGCAAACAATCAAATCAATTGTAGCAATTCTTTTCCGCTCTTTCAATGGCTATATCCGTTAGGTTGAAAATCTACTCAAGGTTGCAAGTCGCTATAATGGGATTGATGGAAAAAGCATGTTAGTCCGCCCTATAAATCATTGTCCCTATTGAAATTTCCCTCCCTAAAAATCTATTTCACCTTCACTTAAACCTCTTCTCACTCTCAGCCACTTCAGCAGAAATCATAGTCCCTTCTGTCTCTCTTGTTTGCAACTTAATTCACAGTTCCTCAACTTTTACTAAATTGCTATTAAGAAGCAAGATGAAGGTAGGAGGAGAAAGAGAGGTGACTCGGACGAGGGGAAGTTTCTTATGGACTTGCCTGATGGGCACCGGCAATATATTCGTCATGGCATTCATTAGATTATATTTTCTTCTTCTACTCCGACATTTGGTTTCAGTATCTGGAAATTTGGATAAAGCTTATCACAACCATCATCATCATCTCCACCATTCTTTGCTTAAAGACAAGGCTGCTCTTCTTTCATTCAAGAAGTCAATATTAGTTGATCCAAAATCCACACTTGCCAACTGGGAAGAGGCTGCTCCTGTTTGCAACTTCACCGGTGTCACATGTGATGAGCGACCTCAACATGTGGCACATATCGACCTCTCTAGCTCTGGACTTGTGGGGAAGATCTCACCGTTCCTTTCAAACCTCACTGCCCTTCGACTCCTAAACCTTTACGAAAATCACTTCTTCGGTACCATTCCGCCTGAACTTTCCTCCCTCGGACACCTCCATACTCTCGTATTAAATAAAAATAATTTAAATGGTCTAGTACCTGACAGTTTCAGCCTCCTGACCAACCTCACTGTATTTGCTGTTATGGAAAACAATTTGACAAGTCCCCTCCCGCCTTCTTTTTTCTCAAACTGCACTCACTTAGAAGTTATAGATATCTCTTTCAACTTATTCAGTGGTCAAATTCCAGAAGACATCGGAAATTGTCCAAGTTTATGGAGCCTCAATTTATACAACAATCAATTTACAGGACAACTTCCCGCCTCCTTAACCAACACTACACTGTATAATCTTGATGTGGAGTACAATCTTCTATCTGGTGAAATACCTTCAGACATTGTATGGAAGCTGCCTACACTTCTCTATCTTCATTTATCATATAACAACATGACAAGTCATGATAACAACACCAATCTCTATCCATTCTTCGCTGCATTGGGAAATTGCACTGTTTTGAGGGAGCTTGAATTGGCTGGCATGGGGCTTGGAGGAAGATTACCTAGCTTCATTGGCCATCCTAGTCTACAGCGTCTAGAATTGCAAGAAAACCACATCTTTGGATCGATTCCTCCAGAAATAGGAAATCTTTCAAATATTACAATGCTGAACTTGACATCCAATTTTCTAAATGGAACAATCCCAGAAGAGGTCAGTCTATTGTTAATGTTGGAGCAGCTCTTTTTGTCCCACAACATTTTCAGCATCAAAATTCCTGTAGCGTTAGGGAAACTCCCTCATCTTGGTCTGATTGATCTATCAAACAACAAATTCTCTGGAGAAATTCCGGCCACCCTAGGAGATTTAGTTGCACTTCGTTCTTTGTTTCTAAATAACAACCTCCTTTCGGGGACAATACCACCAAAACTACTGAAATGCAAAAATCTGAACATGCTTGATCTGTCCTACAATAAATTAACAGGGAGGATCCCTCCAGAGATAGCAGACCTACGTGAAATCAGAAGATTTATAAATTTGTCACACAATCTTCTTGAAGGGCCTTTGCCAATAGAGCTCAGCAAGCTGGAAAATGTTGAAGAAATCGACCTTTCATCAAACAACCTTAGTGGTAATGTCTTTCCCCAAATATCAAGCTGTGTTGCAGTGATGGTGATAAATCTCTCACACAATTCACTTGAAGGGCAGCTTCCAGATTCTGTAGGTGACCTAAGGAACCTCCAGTCATTTGATGTTTCAAGCAACAATATAGCTGGAAAGATACCAATGAGCCTGAGCAAAATTAACCTTACATTTCTGAATCTTTCTTTTAACAACTTTGAAGGAATGATTCCCTCTGGTGGCATCTTCAATTCAGCCACAAATATGTCATTCTTAGGCAACCCGCATCTATGCGGAGCAGCTTCTAGTAGGCCGATTTGCCCTCAAAAGAAACACTGGTTTCGATCACGTATGTTGATTATTTTTATCATAGTCATAGTTGTTTCAGTGCTCTTATCAGCAGTATGCTGTGTGATTGGAATCCGCTGCGTTAAACTAATGGTTTCTTCCAGGAAAACTGGGAGATCAAGAAAACCAGCAACACCAAAAATAATGCACAATTTCCCCAGAATCACTTACAAAGAACTGTCAGATGCCACTGGAGGATTTGATAACCAGAACCTAATAGGGACAGGTAGTTATGGACATGTTTATGTTAGGAAAATGGGGTCCAGTCCCATGTAAGTGGTCTTGGACCAAGTAAAGGCCATGGGCCTTGATCTTTTATTTTACACAGAGCCCTAGCTACTTAATAAAAAAGAGGTGGGGTTGTTTAAGGTGTGTGTCGACAACCAAGCAGAGAAAGAAGAAAAGCCAGGAAAAGCAGAGAGAGAAAAAGGAGAAGGGAGAGTTGGTTGAACGGAAGTCAATCCGTGGTCCGATTAAGTTGGAACCTTGTCAGGAGGTTTATAATTCAGAGTTCTACATTCTGAACGGTGAAGATCGGGTTTGAAGCTCTCTAGAAACAAATCCAGGGTGTATTTGTTGAGTCACTTATTTGGTGAGATTTCTCCAATTGTTTCTCTAGTTGTTGATTAGCTCTAGTTTTAGCTAGAGAAGAACTTTGTATAACTATTATTTGATAGTGAAGATTTTTCTGGTGGCCCGTGGTTTTTTTCCCTCTACACTGGAGGGTTTTCCACGTAAATCTTGGTGTGCTTTATTTTTCCTGCGTATTTGATTATTGATTGTTGTCTATTGCTTCTGTATTGTTGTGATTATTGCTTCAGGCGCAACAAGTGGTATCAGAGCGAGGGTTATTTTGAGACATCGATACAGAAGCATCCCAGGATAGAAGTAAATTCTGTTTGAGATCATGGAGGGTGATACAGGTTCCATGATAAAATTGACAGCATCAAATTATTCAATTTGGAAGCCTATGATGGAGGATCATCTATACTGCAAAGATTTGTATGAGCCAGTATTGGGTGATTCGGCTAAACCAGCAGATATGAAAGATGAAAGCTGGAAGAAGCTAGGTAGAAAGACGCTGGCTACAATCAGAAAATGGGTTGATATCAGCGTGTTTCATCATGTAGCGCAGGAGTCAGATGCTCACATTGTTTGGGAAAAATTGGCAGCATTGTATGAGAGAAAAACAGGTATGAATAAAGTTATGCTTGTTAAAAAGATTGCAACTTTACAGTACAGGGATGGACGATCTGTTACAGAGCACTTGAGTGATTTTCAAGATATATTTAATCGGATGACTACTATGGAACTTAAGATGGATGATGAAATGAAGGCATTATTTCTTTTGGGTTCATTGCCAGACAGCTGGAATACTCTAGTTGTGACTATTCTTAATTCAGCTCCTGATTATAAGGTGACATTGGAGATGGTAAAGGACAGTATGCTTAATGAAGAAGCGAGGCGAAAAGATGTAGACCCTGGGAATCAAGCTTTGGTCACAGAGAACAGGGGTAGAAACATCGACAGAGGTCAGGACTCAAAAGGCCGTGGTAAGTCTAAACATAGATCCAAGTCTAGAGGTAAAGTGAAGTGTTTCCATTGTGGTAAGGCGGGTCATATAAAACGAAACTGTAGAATCTTAAAGCAAGAGCGAAAAGATGAGAAAGGCAAGAGTTCAGATGATGGCAATGTTGTAGCAGTGAATTCAGATAGTGATTCAGTTACTTTGATTTGTACACATGGTGATTGTAATCATGTTAGTGATCCCGGCATTGAGTGGATAGTTGACACAGGAGCGGCATATCATTGTGTTCCTAAGAGAGAGTTGTTTACAACTTACAAAGCAGGAGACTTTGGTTGTACCAAGATGGGAAACAAGAGTGTGTCGCAGATTGTTGGGATTGGTGATATTGTTGTACAAACTAGTACAGGCTGCATGTTGACTTTGAGAGATGTCAGACACATTCCAGATATGAGAATGAACTTGCTTGCTATTAATGTCCTTGATAAGGAGGGATATGAAAGCCGACAAAAGAATGGACAGTGGAAGCTTCTCAAAGGATCTATGGTAGTTGCAAGGGGAAAATTATGCTGCACAATGTATAAGACATGGATGCAATTGAACGGTAACCAGGTAAATACCGTTGAAAATGATGTTTCAGCAAACTTGTGGCACAGGAGGCTGGCACACATGAGTGAAAAAGGGTTACAGGTTTTGGCAAGGCACTCTCTCATTCCCTTGACCAAAGGTATGTCTCTCGATTCATGTGATTATTGTTTGTTTGGTAAGCATCATAGAGTTTCTTTTCGTAAAAGTTCTCAGAGAAAAGAAAATAGATTGGAATTAATTTATTCTGACGTATGTGGTCCCATTGAGGTTGAGTCATTAGGTGGTAGCAGATATTTTGTTACTTTTATTGATGATGCTTCACGTAAGATTTGGGTGTATATGTTGAAATATAAAAGTCAGGTACTGCAGTATTTTCAAAAATTTCATGCCATGGTTGAAAGGATGACAGGGTTACCCTTGAAGTGTATTCGAACTGATAATGGTGGGGAATACACATCTAAAAGCTTTGAAGAGTATTGCTCAAAGCATGGGATCAGGCATGAGAGGACAGAACCTGGAACACCGCAGCATAATGGTATAGCTGAAAGAATGAATCGCACCATTGTGGAAAAAGTCAGATGTATGTTGAGGATGGCAAAATTACCAAAGCCATTCTGGGGTGAAGCAGTCAACACAGCTTGTTATTTACTTAACAGGTCACCATCAGTTCCTTTGGGCTTTGACATTCCAGAAAGAGTGTGGACAGGAAAAGATGCTTCATACTCTCACTTAAAAGTTTTTGGGTGTAAAGCATTCATGCATGTACCAAAAGAGCAGAGGTCAAAGCTTGATAGTAAAGCTACACAGTGTGTGTTTGTAGGATATGGTGATGAGGAATTTGGCTACAGGGTATGGGATCCAGTAAAGAGAAAGACAGTCAGAAGCAGAGATGTGGTCTTTCATGAAAAAGAAACCATAACAGACCTTGAGAAAAATGAGAAGACTACACGAGTTACTGTTGAGTGTGATGTTTCAACACCGACAGGGATTTCACAGGAAAGAGCCACAGATGGTGAAAATGAGCCAGAAACAGAACTTGGGGATATGAATGAGCCAGCCATAGTTGGTGATGAGCCAGATGCTATTAGTTTTGAGCAGGGGGAGCAATCCTCTCTACCTGAGAGTGTTGAGCAGGGGGAGCTACCTTCAGCATCAAGTGATGTAGAGTCTCAGCTCAGGAGATCTACTAGAGAGCGCAGGCCATCTACCAGGTATCCAAGTTCAGATTTTATTTTAGTTACCAGTGAAGGGGAGCCAGAAAGCTTTCAAGATGTGCAGGCTACTCCGGATAGAGAGCACTGGTTAAAAGCAATGAAAGAAGAGATGGAGTCATTGCGAAAGAATGGTACTTATGATCTTGTTAAACTTCCAACAGGGAAGAGGCCATTAAAGAATAAATGGGTGTTCAAGTTGAAAAAGGATGGTGACAAACTAGTGAGGTACAAAGCTCGATTGGTAGTAAAAGGTTTTTCTCAGAAACCAGGCATCGATTTTGATGAGATTTTTGCTCCAGTTGTAAAAATGAGTTCTATTCGAGTGGTACTGGGATTGGCAGCTAGTTTGAATCTTGAGCTTGAGCAACTTGATGTTAAAACTGCATTTTTGCATGGTGATTTGCAGGAGGACATTTATATGAATCAGCCTGAGGGTTTTGAAGTGAAAGGGAAAGAGCACTTAGTTTGCAAATTGAAGAAAAGCTTGTATGGCTTGAAACAAGCTCCGCGACAGTGGTACAAGAAGTTTGATTCTTTTATGATGAGTCATAGCTATAAAAGAACAGCAGCAGATTCTTGTGTGTATATTAAACAATTCCCTAATGGTAACTTCATTATCCTATTATTATATGTTGATGATATGTTGATTGTAGGACAAGATGCTAGTATGGTTTGCAGGTTGAAAGAACAATTGTCTAAGTCCTTTGATATGAAGGATTTAGGTCCAGCAAAGCAGATTCTTGGTATGGACATTATCCGAGATAGGAGAGCTGGAAAGCTGTGGTTGTCACAGGAAAAGTATGTTGAACGAGTGCTTGGTAGATTCAACATGCAACATGCTAAATCAGTTAGCAGTTCACTTGCCAACCATTTTCATCTAAGTAAGAAATCTTGTCCAGTGTCTAAGGAAGAGCAACTAGCTATGTCTAGTATTCCTTATTCTTCTGCAGTCGGTTCTTTAATGTATCTTATGGTTTGTACAAGGCCTGACATTGCTCATGCAGTTGGTGTAGTGAGCAGATTTCTTTCTAATCCAGGGAAGGTTCACTGGGAAGCAGTAAAATGGATTTTTAGATATTTGAGGGGTACCTCAAAAATGTGTTTGACTTATGGAGTTTCACAACCAATTCTAGAAGGGTTTACTGATGCTGACATGGCAGGCGATCTTGATGGTAGGAAATCTACTTCAGGGTATTTGTTCACTTTTGCAGGAGGAGCTGTATCTTGGCAGTCTAAGTTGCAAAAGTGTGTTGCTTTGTCAACTACAGAAGCTGAGTATATTGCAGCAACTGAAGCATGTAAAGAAATGCTTTGGATGAAACGTTTTCTTTTTGAATTGGGGTTGAATCAGAAAGAGTATGTGGTATTTTGTGATAGCCAGAGTGCTTTAGATTTGAGTAAGAATACCATGTACCATGCTAGAACAAAGCACATTGATGTTAGATATCATTGGTTACGTTCAGTGATTGAAGAACAGCAGATGCTATTGAAGAAAGTCCATACTGATAAAAATGTGGCAGATATGTTGACTAAGATACTTCCCAGGGAAAAGCTTGAGCTTTGCAGTAACTTGGCCGGAATGAGTTCCCTGGCCAAGGTAAGTTCCAAATGAAATTGCTATGGTGATGAATCTCCTTCTAATGGGACTGGAGGGGGAGATTGTTAGGAAAATGGGGTCCAGTCCCATGTAAGTGGTCTTGGACCAAGTAAAGGCCATGGGCCTTGATCTTTTATTTTACACAGAGCCCTAGCTACTTAATAAAAAAGAGGTGGGGTTGTTTAAGGTGTGTGTCGACAACCAAGCAGAGAAAGAAGAAAAGCCAGGAAAAGCAGAGAGAGAAAAAGGAGAAGGGAGAGTTGGTTGAACGGAAGTCAATCCGTGGTCCGATTAAGTTGGAACCTTGTCAGGAGGTTTATAATTCAGAGTTCTACATTCTGAACGGTGAAGATCGGGTTTGAAGCTCTCTAGAAACAAATCCAGGGTGTATTTGTTGAGTCACTTATTTGGTGAGATTTCTCCAATTGTTTCTCTAGTTGTTGATTAGCTCTAGTTTTAGCTAGAGAAGAACTTTGTATAACTATTATTTGATAGTGAAGATTTTTCTGGTGGCCCGTGGTTTTTTCCCTCTACACTGGAGGGTTTTCCACGTAAATCTTGGTGTGCTTTATTTTTCCTGCGTATTTGATTATTGATTGTTGTCTATTGCTTCTGTATTGTTGTGATTATTGCTTCAGGCGCAACAGTTTATAGAGGAGTTCTTCAAGATGGTACAAGCGTTGCCATAAAGGTGTTGCATTTGCAGTCTGGAAATTCAATAAAAAGTTTCAACAGAGAATGCCAAGTTCTGAAGAGGATTAGGCACAGAAACCTCATTCGAATTATAACAGCATGTAGTTTACCTGATTTTAAGGCTTTGGTTCTTCCTTTTATGGAAAATGGAAGCTTGGATAGCCAACTCTATCCATATTCTGATTCGGGTTTGGGTTCAGGCTCTTCAGATTTGAGTCTACTTCAGAGAGTTAGCATATGCAGTGACATTGCTGAAGGGATGGCCTATCTGCATCACCATTCCCCTGTTAGAGTCATACACTGTGATCTAAAGCCCAGCAATGTTCTCCTAAATGATGATATGACAGCATTTGTTTCAGACTTTGGGATTGCAAGGCTGGTTATGACAGTAGGAGCTGGCAATGGAGGTGGGGTTATTGAGAACATGGGAAATTCTACTGCAAATATGTTAACAGGATCAATTGGTTACATTGCACCAGGTAAGCATTCCTCCTTTTGCCTCTAGACTTGATGTTAAAGTAAACCAAAATAGACTATGGCAGAAGATGAAGAACATTTTTTTTTTACAAAACTGAAATTGATACTGCAAAAGTCGACGGGATCATTTTGTTTAAAGCGAAAGCATCATCATCTATATTCTCCGACGTGAACAGATTTAAGTAATTTCCAGTAATCTAAACAAATTGTATCTTAATCCCAAATTTCAAATCATTTAATCATAAAACTACAAGAAAAACATCAAAATGGCCCACTCAGATATGTAAGCCTTGATCGCATGTCAATTATCATTTTTCCACATGATTCACTTATCAATATAAGAGTTATTGTAGACATTGGAAGTTTGCTTCTTATTTTCTTTTTTTTTAAATGGTGCCTTAAATTCAAATTCATAAAAATTAAATCAATCAAATTTGTGCTGCAGAGTATGGATTTGGATCTAATACATCTATCAAGGGAGATGTATACAGCTTTGGAATTGTAGTTCTTGAGATGGTGACCAGAAAACGACCGACCAATGAGATGTTTGTTGGTGGTTTAAGCCTGCACAGATGGGTGAAGAGTCATTACCATGGAAGGTTAGAAAAAGTGGTTGACTCATCTTTGATTAGAGCTTCAAGGGATCAGTCGCCAGAAGTGAAAAGAATGTGGGAAGTTGCAATTGGAGAATTGATTGAATTGGGTATTCTCTGCACACAAGAAACTCCCTCTGCTAGACCGAGCATGCTTGATGTTGCTGATGACCTGGATCGCCTTAAAAGGTACCTTAGTGGGGATACAACTGCCACATTTGCCTCATCTCTTGGAATTTGTTCTTCCACTCTAGTTGATGACTAACAATCTCTACTTGCTGTACATAGACTGAATTTTGCTTTGCGCTTCTAGAAAATTTTACTTGGAATCAATCAGAAGATGGAGCAACTATGGTTACAGAATAATATCTGATAACTATAACACTAACTACAAGTTTTCTACATTTTTAAGCAGGGTATGTTTACATTTTAGGCTCTGTTAAGTATAAAGTAATGATAGTAAACGGGAAATTTAGGTCCCAACATCTGTGTAAAATGTTTTGTAATGCCGAATAACCAAAGACGCCGGAAGCTACATATAATCCAAGGTACAACCAATATTCAGACTCCAGCTGAAATGCCTTCGGCCCAGGTTCTATGTTTTAATACAGGTAAAATCTATAAGATGGAGCAGAAATTCAAAAAATAAGAAGGAACAAGGAAAAAAAGCATTTTACTTGCTAAACATTTGAGTCAAGTAATCATACATCACAGGCCATGCAAAATTGAGAAACTCTGGAAATGTATTGAAAGATAAAAGAGAGTCTAAACCAATCCAGAGGGAGCCTCTTTTCCTTGTCAAGAATAGAAGGCATGAGGAAGCGCTAAGCTACATTCAATCAGACTGTTTCTAATATCTGAAAGATATGTCCATGTTTGGCTTTCACAGATTAACTACATTTACAATCCATAGCGTTGAGCAAAATCTCAAAAACAACCTCAGAGATCGAACGAAGCACAAGATGATCCTTTTTCCTCAATCCAATGATATTCCAATTTTTTTAATTAAGTTGTTGGAAATCAAGAAAATGTTATGACAGTAATGGCAATGTAAGTGGACCTCCCAGCAAAAACTTGGAATGAATTACGTACAATCTGGTTATAGAATGTAAGTGGTAGGTGGCATCCCATGACAATGACCCTATTTGGCAGTTTTCAAAAGTTGAGGTGGCTGATACCAATTGTCTCAAAGAAAAATGAATTAATGGTGAAACAAAAGGAAGCATTAGGGAACAAGAATTCCTGTGTCTAATTGTATCCAGCTCATAAATTATTCTCAAAATAACTGCTTTCTACAATAATCGAGTGCCAACATTAACAGCATATGTTGAAATTTCTTCCCATGTTATAGCATCCTAATGATTAGAACAAAGCAAGAATGAAAGAAGAACAACATTAATAAGACAGGAAGAGGACAGACACGTGAACAAGATAAAAGAAACAGAAAAAATGTGGTTTATGACATAACTTGCAATTCCATTTTTCAAATGTAATGGCATGGCGGCGCCTTTCATCAGCGGCAGATCTGATCAACAAGTCCCACGTTTGCAAGCGTAGAAGTCATCATGAAATTGCTTGACTTAATAAAGGAGTAGATTAATTAATCTACAAATCTTAGCTTGATGTTCTAGCATATCAGCTAGATATGGCAAATCGATTTCAAGAGCTGCAAACCATTCAATCATTCATGAAATTGCTGGATGTTAGGTAAAGGAAAACGATATGCAAAAATCAGGGAAAGAATTCAAATGAAGCAGACTATTCCTGAAATGCAAGAATTTTAGTGCACTACAAATGTCACATGGATCTATTTTCTTCCAACATTATGATGGCAGCATGGGCAATGGCATTTACTCAAGCATCAACTCAAGGTTTTGATGAATTTGCTTAACAGCTATGAATGCATTACCAATGCGTCCAAGACTCTCAAACAAGTGAAATGGAAGACGTAATGTCATCAACTAGCCTCACGAGCAGTTTTGCCTATTCAACTGACAGGGCAATCTAAAAAATCTGATTCAAAAAATCAAGCAAAAACGTAACATCACAGTTCAAAAATGTAGCAGGTTTTGATGAATTCTTGGGTAGTTATAACTTGTAAATGTGTCTAGTTTGATCTTGAAGCAATGGAAGAAGGGCTGATTTAGATTGACTTCAACTTTTTTCCAAAATTAAATTTCAATAAATATTTGATAGAAAATAAAAATATAAGACTTAATTGTCTGTTCATATTTATTTGTCTATTTTTGACAGATTTAATTAATCCAACACTAAATTTAAACTTTAAATAAAATAAATAAAATAATATTTTATTCACTACATTGTGTGCCAAGTGCCATTAATTAAATATTAATATTAATTATTTAATTAATACAAGAGCTACCAATTTCGAAAATTCAAACTCATGATCCATTAGCCACTTAAATCCAATTACAATGGATTTATACTTCTCATAATTTAAATGATTATTTTATCTGTTCATTTTCAAATGTAGAATTATTTCTCATATTTTATTTTGAAAATTTCTAGCACTCTTATAGAAACTAGCTATTGCTTGCTCTCTAGCGATAGAGCATTAATACCTTGCATTGGGGGCTTGATTCCTTCATGTTGCAATTCAAAATTTGACCTCCAAAAAGCTAGGGAATCGATCCCTTTAAACTTTTCAAGCTTCACAACATTTCAGGATGCTTCTTTTTGTAAAGCAATTGATCAGGAAGATTTTGTTAGTAAAACGAATGATCCCTTAAAAGAGGATATCGATATTTTGCTTCAAAAGTTCAAAACACATGCATTTTTAAACCTTAAATTTTTGTATTGTTGTTTTGTTTAAAATTATTTTCTTTTATCAACCTATTTCTATTCCAAAATAATTTATTTAGAAGTTATTTAAAAACAAAAAAACTTAAGATAAAAATCAAAGAAATTTAGGAGAAATACTTTTTACTTAAAATTTGAGTCCACAAATAAATATTTGAAAAGTGAAATTGTTTGGACTTTTATTTTAGCTTAATTATGAAAATATTTCTTCACTTTCAATTCTTTCAAAAATTGACTTCTAGGAAAAATGTTAAAGTTCAAGAACTAATTTTTTTCAAGCACAAAAGTTCTAATAAAGTAAAACACATTGAAAATTCTTTTCCATGAAATCATTAATGATAATATTATATCAAGTTTAAAGAAAAATATTTTTCTTTGAATATCAATTAAACTTGTATTATAAAATAAAGCACAATAAAGCACATAAAAATCTTTTTTCTCAAAAACAAAAGTGCCACAATTATATTAAGTCCAAAAGAATTTTTTTTTTTTTGTGAAATAGCAATTAAACTTGTATCTAGGATCTAACAAATAATCTTTAAAGCAAACTTTCTATTTAAAAAGTAAACAATAGAAAACATGAAAAGTAAATAAAAGAAAACATAATTAAATTTTGGACAAACTATATATACATATTGTCAACGTATAGATCTGTAAACTTATAATTAAATATGACTTTAGGAGTTGTCACCAATTTTTTCTTTGTTTAGATACGATTTACCATTTTAACTGAATCTTTTCAATTTTAAAGAGAAGTCTAAAGCTTGACTTGGATATCTTTAAAAAATAGATTCTAGCCCACAAAACTAGATATAAGTTTAGGATTATGATTATGTATGAGGAAGAGCATAATACCCTTACAAAACCCATATGAAGGATAGCACCAGTTGATTTTGTGTTATCCAAAACCTAAAAACATGTTTGTAATTTATCAAATAATTAAATTATAAGAAATTATTTTTAAAATTACTCTAATAGTTTGATAATAATTTAAGATAATTTTTTCATTTTAAGAGTATTTATAGAGAGTAGTGTCTTACTCTGAAAAAACTATGTTATCGGACTTATTAAAGTATTTCATTTGGAAGTTCATTATTAAAAACAAAACAATCAATAAAATTCTCCAATAGTTTGGTAAGATTTTATTTTGATGCATGTTCCTAAATAGTTTGGAGAGATTTTTTATTCAAAAATTTATCCCTAAAATTTTAGAAAAGGTTATTAAATTTTTTAATAGCTTGGTAAGATTTAATTTAATATTTAAATCTTCCAATAGTTTAGTAAGATTGAAAATTTTATTTTTAATAAAAATTTACTAAATCCTCTAATAATTTGATAAGACTTAATTTGAGATTTAAATCTTTCAATAGTTTGATAAGATTGAAATTTTTATTTTATTATAAAAATTCATTAAGTTTTTCAATAATTTTGCAAGATTTAACTTGAAATTTAAATTTTTTAATAATTTGATAAAATTAAAAACAAAACTCTCACGTAAAAACTTTCAAAAAAGCCACTTTTATGTTGCCTTTTTAATTCCACCATAAGAAATATTTTATTTAATGTTAAGTTCACCGAGAATGCATAATTAGAATAATATTTTAATTATAATATCGATTGAACTTACAAAATTATTTTATTAAGAACATATTTGAGTTTTTTTTTTTCATATATCTTATTAACACTTTTCTTAGACGACTTATCATAAAATAAAGTGAACAAACAAATGAATGAAAACCATGAAAAAAAAAATGAAAAATAAAGTAATAAACCTGGACCTTAAGCACCTGACTTATAGAAGAAAGCTCCTTCAGTTAAGTTGTTGTCTTATCAAATCTCTTTAAGCTTTTACGTTTCTTATTTCTTCACTCCCCTCTCTCTTTTTATTTTTTATTTTTTATTTTATATCTTTTATGTGAGCAAAACAATCCACTGCCTTTTCACAATCACAGAAACATTGCCTCCAATTTTTAGCTATTTCCTTCTATAGTCAACCACCAGAAGCTCTAGCCTTTCCTTTTTCCTACTCTACCCTTGTTGCTAGCTAAGGCCAAACTTGGATCCTAAGCGCATGGTTTCTGTTTGGTGTTTTGGGTTGAAAGATTAAGTTTGATTTGGGAATAGAACTTTTCTTCTCAATACTGATGGGAACTAAGAAATTGAGGTTGATTTTTGCTGTTGTTATATTTTAATGATTCCGCTCCTGGGTTTCGTCCCCAAATACTAATCCCCAAATTCCCTGAGATCAAACTACTACAATTTCCACTCTTCATTCTTTGCCTCTCCTCTCCCCTTTTCTATGTATTTCCTCTCTAATTTCTGTTTGATTTTTGCTGTGTCATTAGAAGTGAATTGCAAGTCTATTTATAGTTGAGATTAGCAGAGTTTCAAATTGTTTATGATTCAATTTTCAAAATCTCTACACTATAATAAAGAAAAATCCAC